TCAATTTCAAGGTCATTTTCATTGTGAAACTAATCAAAATCATCTCTATTACTGTAATATGTTTTCCATTTTATCACACGAGACCATGAAAACGAGAATACAACAATAAATACTATACGAAAATACACCTCAAAGTCGGTGTTTTAATCCAAAAAACGGTCAGTTTTTTTTCTCATCATGCACTGCATGCTGCAGGATTTTTCTTATGTGGTGCACAATGACCAGACATACCCATTCTCTCACATGTGAGCCTACCACCTTTCTCCTGCTTGATTTGAAGCCGCTAGAATTTATGCGTATAAATACATCTGAAACAGTGGCGCGTAAGACGTATATATACGACCAAAACAGTCAAAGGGTTAAAGTGCAGGAATTGTACTTCCCATTTCCACGACTCAAGTCCAGTTAAATCTATAATAACCAGTTTCCCTGAATCCCTTCACTATATATTACCCTGCTCACACTCCAACAGCTCGTTACATCCCAAAAACCATTCATCTCAATTTACTCCTATCTAAAACACTCACACAGGTTTGCTGGAAGTTCAAGCCCCTTGCCCACAAAACCTCCTTTACCCCCTCTTTCCAATCTTTTCAACGACGACCCCTATCCCTCCTTCCTTCCCCTACAGATTTATACGCTCTCCAAGTCATTCTACTTTGATCCATTCTCTCTAAATGACCAAACCACCTCAACAACCCCTCTTCAGCCCTCTGACTAATACTTTTAGTAACTCCACACCTCCTCCTAATTTCCACACTCCAAATTCTCTGCATAATATTTACACCACACATTGGCCTTAGACAGGACATCTCCTCTGCCTCCAGCCGCGTCCTCACTGCAGCATTTACAACCCAAGCTTCACACCCACGTGTGTTGGTACTACTATACTTTCATACATTCCCTTCTTTGCCTCCACAGATAACGTTTTTTTGCCTCCACAGATCTCAACACACCATAATAATAAAATAATAATAATAATAATAATAATAATAATAATAATAATAATATTATTATTATTATTAATATTATTATTATTAACCCTTTGAGGGTCGACAGGCCCTCTCCGAAACTCGTTCTCAGGGTCGGCCAAATTTAAAAAAAAAAAAATTATTTTCTCTTATGAAAAGATAGAGAATCTTTTCCCGATCATAAAGACACCAAAAGTTTGAAATTTGATAGAAAACTTACGGAATTATGCTCTCGCAAAGTTAGCGGTCTCGGCGATGTTTACGCATCGGCGATTTTGCCCACTTTGAGCCCCATTTTCGGCCAATGTCGCTGTACTAGTCGACAAAAAACATGAATATTTCGCTAGAACTCCATTTTTTCTATCGAATGGGTGCAAGAAACCACCCATTTATGAAATTCAACTATCCAGTACAGTGGTCAGAATTTAGCAATTTTGCCAATTTCACACAAATTTCAAAAGATGCCAATTTCCGAATAGGGTCCAGAATAAACAAGAAAGACATTCCTGACACTAAAATGACATTTCCTCTAGTCATTAGTCACATCTCAAGGTCCCTCTTATATTCTTTTGCTTTCCATTTTGAATTTTTATTCTCACAAAAAATATAAGATTTACTGTTATGCAGACTACTGCATTAGTGTAAAAAATGGTATAAATATTATTGGTGCACTTGTGAAAGAATATTAGACTCACCAGTTGACGTGTATTGCACGCTTGGCACGATTTGTTTACTTTTGAAGTTTGGTAAAAATCGAACATTTCTGCTACTTTGAGCTCAATTTCAAGGCACCTTTCATTGTAAAACCAGCCAAAATCATCTCAATTTCTGTAATATGTCTTCCATTCTATAAAATGAGACCAAGAAAACTAGAATACAACAATAAATACCATACGAAAATACACTGCAAAGTCGCTGATTTATTCCAAAAAAATGGTCAAAGTTTTTTTTTTCTCATTATGCACTGTGTGCTGCAGGATTTTTTTTAGACTGTGCACACTGACCACATAGACCCATTCTTTCATATGAAGGCCTACCAGCTTTCTCCCACTAGATTTGAGGCCGCTAGAATTTATGCGTACTAGTACGTCAAAAACCCCTACGCGTAAGACGTACTAGTACGACGAAAACCCTCAAAGGGTTAATAATAATAATACAATGATAATAATACAGTGGACCCCCGGATAACGATATTATTTCAATCCAGAAGTCTGTTTGGGTGCCGTTATAGACCGAATTTGTTCCCATAAGAGATATTGTGAATTAGATTAGTCCATTTCAGACCCCCAAAAATACACCTACAAAAGCACTTACAAAAATACACTTACATAATTGGTCGAGTTGGGAGCTGATCGTTATGCAGGGGTCCACTGTACTATAATAAGTGAGTTTCAGAATGCATCAAAACAACAAATGCCACCACTAGATGGCAGAGTGAATACCACAAAAATGCTCACCATCACCAGAGAAAAGCGTGGAGAAAAAGCCAAAAATCAGTGAAAAATGAAGTGAAAAAAAAAAAAATTGTAGCAGTTAAGTTCAGTGATAAAGTGAAGCATTAACAGTGTAGTAAGTTAAGCGATTATGAAATAGAAAAAGGACAAAACGAAATGAACTCCTCCAATGTTGTTGGAGTTTATAGGGCCACTGACAGCATACGCCGCTCTATCTTTTCCACCGTCAACCTCCGTCAGAGTCTCTTCACCAAGGTAAATGCTATGTGTACACCAGTTTATTTCTTTACATTCTCTATTATGTTTTATTATGTTTTTATACAATATTTCTTATTTCAGTGTTTTCCTTATGAAACTAGTGCAGTTAGCCTCACAAACACTCTGTTTTCTCTTATAATAACAACTCAGAAGGGTAAGCACAGGAAGATGTTTTTCAGAGTGGGAGTGGAAATGGCTGTCACCACTTGTCACATAATGACATATTTTATTCATTCTAGAGTATATATCAGGTTTCTATGTTAATTATATTGCTTATTATGTCATATTAGATGAACTGTGATAGATAAATAAGCCGTAGAGTTGATATTAGCATCATATTCAAGTATTTTGTCCTGCCCTCAGAGCAGGAATTCCGCTGGAACGGATTAATGGCATTTCAATTAATTTAAACGAGGAAAACTGACTCAGCATATGAGCAGATTGGGTTATGAGCTAGGTCATGGAATGGATTAAACTCGTAACCAGAGGTTCCACTGTACATTCATTAAGTATCTCCATTTGGGAAGTACAGGGTATTGTAGTTAGAATTGTATTTGTATGTCAAAAGTATGACAATAGTCCCATAGCAAGAAGTGAGGGGGTGGGGGGTACACTAGTGTACAATCATCATAGGCCCACTACTAGTGTAGAAATGCCGTACTCTATCATCTTAGTTAGGTATCATTAATTGAGTAAACATCACATTTCTTAGAGGGTGGATGATGTTTTAGCCTATTTGGGTAAGTTCTTGTGCAAGTTCATTGTTACTCAGGCAATCTTTGGGATATGTTGGTTTTGGCAAACAAAGTTTTGTCCATCACATTTTTTGAGAGGTTTGAGTGCTTGTCTTTTGTCAACTCTTGGCAGATGGCTTAAAGCATGTGAATGATCTGTGAATCATTGTTGTGAAATGGGGGAGGCCTGTATCGTATTCAAGGTGAAATAGGTCAGAGGTACCCAAAGGAATATGTATAATACTGGTACAAAGTTTGTGTGCCAAGTGGTTAGAAAGCAACCACTTGGTGCCCGTGTTCTGTTGAGAGTCTATTACTATTCACAGGTCAGTTAGTGTCACAGTCACTACTGGCTCAGGAATGAAAGGTATGTCTTGTTCAACATAAATACAGTGGTACCTTGACTTACGAGTGCCTTAACTTACAAATTTTCCGAGTTACGAGCTGTCGCTCGGTACACTTTTTGCTTCGAGTTGCGAGCCAAAATCCGAGTTACGAGCGAGCTTCAGATACGCAGCCACGAGTTGATGGCGTATCTGAAGTCAAATCCAACCCTGTACCCAGAGGAATGTCAGGTACTTCATCCTATCCCACATGCTCTTCCAAGACATGACTGGAAGGATAATACTCCCACACTAATCCTAGATTGTAGTGAGGCACCTCGTCCCTTGTTTGGTTCTTGTATAAATCCGGGGAACAGGTAACCTCCATTTAAACACTCAGAGTTTTTCCAGAAACATTAAGGTGGGTGGAGTACTGATAGTGGTGGGTGGAGTAGTGATGGTGGTGGGTGGAGTAGTGATGGTGGTGGGTGGAGTAGTGATGGTGGTGGGTGGAGTAGTGAGGGTGGTGGGTGTAGTAGAGATGGTGGTGGGTGGAGTAGTGAAAGTGGTGGGTGGAGTATACAATTTTTTTTCTTATTTATAAATACATTTTTCTTATTTAAAAACCTGTAACAAAAAAACTGGGGTGGTTTTTTGGGGGGCTGGAATGGATTAATGGCATTTCAACGAGCAAACTGATTTGATACACGAGGAAACTGAGTTATGAGCTTGGTCACAGAACAAATTAAACTCAAAAGTCAAGGTACCACTGTAAATAAAAAAAAAAAAAGTAAAAAGACAGCTCTAGAGAATAAATGAAAAGAAACCCCATACCCACTGTGAACCGGACACTTCCCCTGCAACAGGTAGCACTGTTGTTCCCTGATAACTACCTTTTACCCTAACCAGTGTAATGTCAAGATGACACCTCAGGAATTGACTGTACAAGGGTTAGCATAACTGCCTGTTTACAAAAGAACACTAACTGAGAAATCATCACTCATATCATACTGGAGGTTAGCAAACCAGCAAATCTATTTGCTGTTCTTAGGCTTCCCATAATAAAATCCTTCTCCCATAATTTAATATCATAATGTTTTAATATCATATCATATATAATGCTTTTGACAAAGGTTTAAGAATGCTTATCACTGTTTTGCAGAATGAAGAATCAAGCCATAACTACCCCTACAGAAGAAGTTTGGTGCATCTCATAAATATAATAGTAAAAGCAAATTAATTTTTTTTTTTTCTGCTAACCTGCAAGGATCCAACTGGGTTCCCTGGGATACCATCATCATATGGTGAAACAATCTGAGTGGATCTGAAACATTAAGAAAAGTATATCAATACATGTATGCACAAGTTCATGGCCTAACTTTCATCAAAACTATTAGGGACAACTATATTTCTATATTTATTGTAATCATACAAAAGCTCTGATTTATTCCAACACCTGTATTTCTTTTTTTTTTACAACACATCGGCCATTTTCCAACGAGGAAGGGTGAACCAAAAATGAAACTCCTTCACCATTATTCACACACAATCACTGTCTTTGCAGAAGCACCTAGCTACAACAGTTCAGATATCGCTCCAAACAGCCAATATTCCAAATCTCTCCTTTAAGGTGCAGGCACTATATTTTCCACCTCCTGGACTCAAGTCCGGCTAACTGGTTTCTTCTTTTTATTTTTAGTAGGCTATATGGGAAAATGGGTTACTAACCCATTGCTCCTGGCATTTTAGTTGACTTTTACAACATGCAAGGCTTATGAATGAGATTCTTATTCCGCTTCCCCATGGACACATAAGGGTGACGCTGTCATCGGATAATGAAAATCCGAGAGCAACACGTTTTTGAGTCAAAATATTGGCTCGGTTACCGAAAAAGAACTTGGTTAAGGACATTCATCACGAACATATCTGCGTATCCTGAGCGGCCCGGCCACTCCATGTACAGCTAGTGTGCTGTTGTTTACAAGCCAGTGAGGACAATTCCACACGTATATGCGATAAATTTTTATATTATTCCATTGTTTTTAGTGTTTGTAAATGCGAAATAAGCGACCATGGGCCCAAAGAAAGCTTCTAGTGTCAGCCCTGTGGTAAAGAGGGTGAGAAATACTATTGAATTGAAGAGAGAGATCATTGCAAAATACGAAAGTGGAGTGCGTGTCTCCAAGTTGGCCAGGTTATATAACAAACCCCATTCAACAATCACTACTATCTTGGCCAACAAAAAGACAATCAAGGAAGCTGTTGTTGCGAAAGGTGCAAGAATGCTTATAAAACAGAGATCGCAAATACTCCAAGATGTGAAAAGACTGTTGTTGGTGTGGATCAAGGAGAAACAATTATCAGGAGATGGTGTTTCTCAGTCAATAATATGTGAAAAGGCAAGGCAGTTGCATGTGAATCTCATTAAGAAAATGCCTCCAAATAGTGCTCATACTGATGAATTTAAGACCAGCAAAGGCTGGTTTGAGAGATTTAAGAATCATAGGGGCATACATGGTGTGATAAGGCATGGTGAGGCTGCCAGTTCTGACAAAAAAGCGGTTGAAAAATATGTGCAGGAATTTAAGGGGTACATAGAGGCTGAACAATTAAAACCCCAACAAGTGTTCAATTGTGACAAAACAGGCCTGTTTTGGAAGCAAATGCCAAACAGGACCTACATTGCTCAGGAGGAAAAGGCACTCCCAGGACACAAGCCTATGAAAGACAGGCTAACTCTCATGTTTTGTAGTAATGTTGGTGGGGATTGCAAAGTGAAGCCTTTACTCGAGTATCACTCTGAATCACCCAGAGTGTCAAGACTAAATTGTGTGTGATGTGGAGAACAAACAGTAAGGCATGGGTCACTAGGGGCATTTTCCTCGATTGGTTCTATGACGTGTCTGGCCCCAGTGTGAAAAAGTACCTCCTGGAAAATAAATTACCACTCCAGTGCCTCCTGTTAATGGAGAATGCTCCTGCTCATCCTCAAGACTTGGAAGAGCGAATTGTGGGGGAGTTTAGTTTTATCAAAGTCAAGTTTTTGCCTCCTAACACCACTCCTCTCTTTAATCCCATGGACCAGCAGGTCATTTCAAACTTCAAAAAACTGTACACCAAAACAGTGTTTCAAAAGTGCTTTGAAGTGACCTCAGACACTGATTTGACCCTAAGAGAGTGACTTCCAGGACTTTGAACTCTGCTTGGAGAAAATTGTGACAAGAATGTGTACAAGAGAAGGATTTTGAACGGTTTGGGGCTAACCCTGAGGAGCCTATGCCACTTGTGGAATTTACTGTGGCACTGGGGCAGTCCATGGGGTTGGAGGTTAGTGGCGAAGATGTGGAAGAGTTGGTGGAGGACGATGATGAAGAGCTAACCACTACAGAGCTGCAAGAGCTTGAGGTGCAACAGCAACAGACCACAGCTCAAGAATTTCCTTCAAAGGAGGAGGAAGAGAGATGAAGGAAGTTGCCTTCGTCAAAGATTAAGGACATTTGTACAATGTGGACAAAGGTGCAAGCATTTATGGATGAACCTTACCTTGACACAGCTGTTGCAGGTCATATTGGCAACATGTACAATGACAATGTTGTGTCCCATTTTAGGGAAATCTTAAAGAGATGCCAGAAACAGAGCTCTCTGGACAGATTTTTGGTGCAACAGGGGTCCAGCGACTCTCAAGCTGGTCCTAGTGGCATAAAAAAACAAAGAAGGGAGGTAACCCCAGAAAAGGACTTGTTATCTAAAGTCTTTATATAAGGGGATTCCCCTTCCAAACAACTGTAAACTCCTCCATCCTCTGCCCTCCTCCCATCTCATCACTCATCAATAAGTCCCCAACAAAGGTAAGTATCATTTCAGTATTGTTTATTCTGCATGTCTCATTGTTTTCTGTGTAGGGAAATGTATACTTCATATAAAAAATTATTTTGTTTAATACTTTTGGGAGTCTGGAATCGATTAATTGGATTTCCATTATTTCTCATGGGGAAAATTAATTTGGATAACGAAAAAATCGGGTTAACCCCTGAACAGTCCAAACGTATACACGTATATACGTTCTTACCGTTAGCGCCCCAAACGTATATGTTTTATTTTTCCTGCCTCCAAATTTGGCATGATTGGCCTGAGATGCCTGGTCAGCATGGAATGGGTCTTAACACTCGGTGTGCACCATATTAAAAAAAATCTGGGACCACTTAGTACCTTGTGGGAGCGCCAGTTAAACTGAGCGCTAGCTAGAGTAAACAGTGCGGCAAACACCAAGGATTCACTGATGTAATGTCATATTAACAATCCCCTTTTAAGAGGAAAGTGAAGTTAACCCCATGTTTAGGGTCTGTCTATCTCTGTCTATCTGTGTCTGTCTGTCTCTATCTCTTTTTATGTCTCACAGGTACACACAAATGCAATTATACATAGTGTAAATTACCTAGGATAACCTAAAAAATCCGAAGTGCTATACTGTGCTTGTAGATATAATGCACAAGAATACTTGTTGGTTCACAGTGGCTCTCTCTGAGACAGAGAGACAAGCAGAGAGAGAGAGACAAGACAGAGAGACAGATAATCAGACACAGAGATACCAACTCATCAAATGTCACCTCTTATCTCTACACCCTCGCTGGAGCCCATCAAACTCATCCTTTATCTCATCTTATCTCTGCACTATCTCATCTTGTCTCTGCACCCTCGCTGGCACCCATCAAATGTCATTCACTGCCCTCCCTGATGCTTGTCACTGACACTTGTCTTAGCATTGCTTCAAGGGAACATCTTCCTTCTTCCTCCTCCTTCTATACTCTCGTGTATCCAAAACATTGCTGGGATCTATAAATACTTTGTATATATTCCTAGACAATAGTAAATGACCAAGGAATGTGTAAATGTCCACCTATCAATGCGTTTGTGACAATTTGAGTACAATTTTAGTGCCTAATATTAGTGTCAGAACAAAGATTGGTTATGAAATGACAAGAACTACAATAAATTGTAATTATCAGAACATAAAAATTATATAAAATATAAAAATGAGAAAAAATGGTATATCGGCAACACTTCTGCAAGCGGCAGGACTAATGTTGCCATCAGGTGAGCATTAAGTGCCAACTTTGCAGCCTCATATCTCAGTAAGTACTGACCCTAATTTTTTTATTTTAATCCTATAACTTAGAAAATTTTTCTCCTTATTTCAATGGAAAAAAATTTTTTTTTTTTTAATTTTTCAAAATATTCAGGGCACTGGGGGGAGAGAACGTATATATACGTTTGGACCATTTAGGGGTTAAAGACAAGCTCTCTGGAATGGATTAATGTCGTTACCCAAGGGTCCACTGTATTAAAAAAAAATCAAAGAAAACTCAAATGAGTGTGTATACCAGAGGCGTCGCTAGAGTTTGTGTCAACCGGGGCAGAATCTCTGGTGTCACTCAGGGCAGCATCTTTGGTGTCACCCCCATGAAATTCAAGGGCAAGGGGATGGGGAAGGGTAAACTCCAGTTATGTCACTACTGCATGCCCAGTCAGTGGCTAATGTTTAGCAATGAGAACATTTAAGGGCCATAAACCAAACAGAAGAATACTTCTCAACTTTATTAATGATAAAATAAATAATCATAGTAATATTGAGGAAACATAAACTCAAATACCACTTTGAGTAAAGGCAACAGATCCTACATTTATTCAACTTCAACAATGCAAAAAAAAAAAAAAAAAAAAAAAAAAAAAATTGAAAAATAAAGAAAAACATTGCAATATCAGAGAAACACTTGTTCCGATTTGACCTTGAGTACAGGTAACATCTCAGTGAATCTGATCTTACATTTTCTTGCCTTCAATTATGCAATATCCTCTATCACATTGTCAAAATCAATGATTTTCCCTACATAAGCTTATTTGTACTTTGTTAACCCGTAAACGGTCCAAACGTATATATACGTTTTTTCAACATTTGAAAGTATGTAAAAAAAGGAGATCTTTGTTTTTTTTTACATTTGAAAATGTGTAAGCAAACTTGGATCTACTTTTTTTTTTTGTTATATTTGAAAATATGTAAAAAAAATGTAGATCTACTTTTGTAGCACAACACATGTGAACGTAGATCTGCTTGGACTGTTTATGGGTTAATATATAATAGGCTATATAGAAATGAAGGATTCATCTCTTATGTTGGTGCAGCACTGTTTTGGGCATTAGTGTCACCTTCTTTAGAGGCTCTATGGTGTCACCCCCTAAACGGTGTGACCTAAGTGTAAGTAAAAGTAGCAAGATATACCTATTTTCCAGCATGTTTATGAGACAGAAAAGACACCAGCACTCATA